ACCCCCCCCCCCCACCATCACCATCCACAAAAAAAATTAAAAACTTTTTAAATTTATTTTTTTTTAAAAATATTTTTTTACTACCCCTACCCCTAACCTGACCCCATTCTCCAAGCCTCAAAGAATTTTTTTTGAAAAAAAATTGTTTTCTTACTACTGCCAAACCCCTACCCCGACCCCCGAGCCCACCACTAATCCATTTTAAATGAGTTGAGTACCTAACTGATTAAAGATAGATAAATTTGAATATATACCCATATAAATTACTCATTCTACCGCCTCTAATTCCAACCAAGCTTCGAATGAACATAGCATACACATAGAGGACACTTAATTAGATATGCAACGACTTCTACTACAGATAGAAGAAATAAAGCAAGACTGGTACATGCTAAAATTTAAGCAAATGTCATTATTTGGTCACTATTTATATTTTATTTTAATTTTAAAGAGTTATCTAAATATAATCTTTTGGATAAAATATAGGACTATCATCTAACATTTAGAGTATAAAATTTATAATTTATCTATCTATTATTTTCTCATAAAAGTTTCAATTTTCTTTAGAAAGATCTTTTAGACTAAGATCTAAAAGAGTTATGCCAAAAAAAATACTGACGGGTGAAATTCATTTTTTGTAATTGATAGAAGTTGTCAAAAGACTATGGTCACGCAAATACCATTTTTTTTGAGGTCACAATTTATATTTTGTTCTTATTTTTTTAAATCTATCCAAAAAGTGTGTGTTTTCTCATAAAAAATTAAGTTAGCTTTGAGAGGGATTTTTAGACTGGAATCCAAAAGATTATTTACTGTAAATAATTGGAGTGTCTAAAAAAAAAAAAAGACGCCTGGTGAAAACTTTTCTAATTGAATAGAAGTTGTCAAAAAACTAAAAGGTAATTAGTCTTTACAACGACATATCATGAAGAAATAAAGCAGCTACAAGCAAAACAAATTCAAGCATCAAACTAGAAAAAAATAATTATCAAAAACGAGTATTACTATATATAAAAAGCAACAAAAATGCACCGACACATGTTTTTTTTCCCTTCGCATTTATTATCAAAAAACAAAAAAGAAGTAGCAAATTAAATTGATCCCAAGTACAAGTTATAAATTAGTAGTACTACTGTTTATGCTGCTGATCCCTCTTCTCTCCCCATTGTTGCACACAAAACCTCATTTTCTTAGCTGCTACTAAGTACTCCACCGCTTCAAAATTTCCTTCAACGATTTCATCCTCAGTTCATCAGCTTCTTCAATTACATCCGCCATGATGTGTTCATCTAAAGCTCAAATTCGGTGAGGGCATAAATTAGTCGAATGAAAGATGGACATATAAATCTGATCATGATAGAAGGACAAACAACAACCGAATAGCTAGCACCGCCTTCGTTAATGTGAAAGTTATAACTTAAAATCAAATTATTACTTATAAGAAACTGTGATTTATGCAGTATATTTTATATAACTTTTAACATTTAAAATTTAAATTTTAAAAATGAATCAAATTGACTTCGAATATGAGTATTATCGGATGAAGGGTGCAGGTAAGAGTTTAACACACTTCTATGATAAAGCCCATGACCTAAAAGGGACAAAAAAGAATTCCAACATTAAATCAAGTGAATGAGGTCATAACTAAAATGAAATTATCTTTAATCATAAAATATATATATAAAAAAAAAAAAAAAGAGGAGAGTGGTGGGTGTTGATGACTATCATATTTCACTTTGTGAATTAGACTTTACTTATAAGACAAAAATTCCATGTGATGAACATATATATATCTGTCTTGACACAGACAAAAAAATAAAAATCAGCGAGCTCCGGGAATTGATTCCTCTGTAGAGTAGTGCCAGCCTTAGAGCAGGTTGTCGAAGTTGCTAAGTAGCTTTCTGAATTAATGACGACTTATATATACGTGTTCATCACAAGTCAATGAATAGGGTTTCTTAGACAGTACGGAAAGTAAAACCTTTAAAGTAAAAGACATACAAGAGTTAACGTGAAAATTAAACCCTCGGAGGAGAAAACCACGACATGTCTCACATAATTTCAACACAAGTTCATTAACTTCAATCAACCAAGACAAGATTCAGATTACAAACTCTTGTAACCTAACAATTAAATTCTTAATCCCTTCCCTCTTTGTAACAACTCTGTTACGTAAAATAAAACAATACCTCTATTGCTCACTACAACTACTCGGTCAATATAGAATTTAAGACCCCAACATAGCTATAACTCATCAAACTCAAACAACGAATATATACAACTTGAGATGATTTAATTCCTTTATAACATAAGAATAGATCTTACAGTGAATAAGCACAAAACTAAATTCTCAAATAACAACTAAAGACAGTAGATTTTGTATCTTCGAAATAACAACTTTTGTTGTATAACTTTTCCAATGTAAAAACTAGGTTATGTCACTTGTCTCAATGACTAATATAGGATGGACGAATAACCTCCCTTGGCTGGGAGAGTACTTATCCTCCGCGTACCTACCACTGCAGCTGTGACAATGATTTTTGCAGCTTTTTATAGCTATCCCTTTCACATAGTTGAACTCTCTGTCTCTCATGGGATCAGGTCACATATTAAATGCCACACTTTATTAAATCATCAATATTACAGAATAACTTATACAACAGTTTACAAGTAGTAACTTTGCAAACAGTTTCTTTAAAATTGCTTACCGTACCGTAAAAGTTCTCATATTTGTTTGAAATGCATTTAGGTTTGTTTGTTTCTCTGATCTTCAGTTAGTAAACTTCATGCCTACCAATAAATCTGCAATCTTGTAATAGATTTATTTACTTGAAATTGAAGGGGTTTCCTTTCAGGCAATAACTCATTTTATACTTGGAGTAAGCCAATTACTAAAAAATGGATTATATATTATTTCATCTCTAGTACATGTTTGGGGGAGGGAGTGAAGGAAAATAATTTATGATGTTTGGTCTTTAAGAACATAACGGATATATAGTTCAGTATAAATCATCTTATTTACACATGATCATGCAGATCGATCGATACCATATACTAATTTTTAGATACGTATATATTGGTTATATATCTGAAGGAAAATGAAGTGGACTAGTGTCTAATGCTAGAGATCGAATGATATATCTTTGTCACTATTAATGCTGATTGAGCATCTCAAAACTCACAATATAGTCAGCTAAATAATCCATCATCAACTATGATAAAAGAAATTAAATGGACTAATTGAATACGTGCAACATGCATGCATGTTCCTAGATTAGTGTATAGTTAGAACTTTAGCAAGAAAAGAAAAACATAACACCCCAACTTGCATGTGCCTAGTTGCGTTAAATGGATGAATCTAAATGAATTTAAGCAAGATCAAAATGAGTTATTTATTTTAATTAATGGCCCCTAAAAGTTAATTGGATTAAAATGAGCTAGAAAGTGAGTAATGATTTAATCCAATTCTTTTTTTTAGGCTCAAATTGAATGAGCTAAAATGAGTTGGGTTCAAATGAGTTAGGCTCATAAGGTGCATTATAGTAAGTTTTTTATTTACCCCTCTCTTCCGAAAACTTTCACCTTTTTGCCCTATTTGTAACTCAAATTCACAATTTTTAAGATTGAAAGTGAGCAAGTAAAATTTTCAGTTTCCTTGAGATGATTAATTTTGCACGAAAACAAGAAGCCGGCGGGGTGAAAACTTTTGTAATTGAATAGAAGTTGTCTTTATCCCAATTACAAGGACAGATGAAGAAATAAAACAAACTGATAGAAGCAAAACCAAATTCAAGCATCAAACAAGAAAAAATAATTATCAAAACTTAGTACTACTATAAAAAGCAACATATTTTTTTTTCCCCTTTCCCATTTATTATAAAAAAAAGAAGGTAAAAGTTATAAAATAGTACTACTCCTTATGCTGCTGATCCCTCTTCTCTCCCCATTGTTGCACACAAAACCTAATCTTCTTAGCTGCTGCTATGTACTCGACGGCCTGAACCGGTTCAAGTATTTTCACAATTTCCTTCAACGTCTTCATCCTCAGTTCATCAGCTTCTTCAATTACATCGGCCATGTGTCCACTATGTTCATCCAAAGCTTCATCCGCTTTCTCACAATCATGTCCCTCTTTCTTCATCTTCCCCGCAAGCGGTTGGTCCACTATTTCCTCTTGTAAGCTAGCCAATTTCGTCGAAATCCTCCTCTCTTCTCGAATCGTCTTCCCTTGCAACTCGTTAATCATACTCAACTGTTCCCCGCTTAGTTTACGGATATCCTCGGTTACCATCCCTTCAAGGCACGGATCAGTTCCTTGGACGTCGGGTTCGAATCCACAGAGTGCATAAATAAGTCGAATGAAAGAAGAAGGTCTACAGCCAGCGATCCATAAAACCGAATTCTCTAACGGGGAGCACGTGGCGGGTGCGAAGAAAGGGGACACGTCTTTTCGAGCTAGACGGATACGGTTGTCAGAGTGCTCTTGGAAATGTTTTATGATTTTTTCTATGAGTTGTGTCAGTTTCTCTTCATCTTTTTCACCGTTTTGGACTTGAGCTGCAGCATCTTCCAGTTCGGTCAGTTCTTCGTGTTGAAGACTCTTCCAAACACACTTTGCATAATCTTGTTCCTCACGATCAGTTTTTTTTGAATCACTTGCCATTTTCTTCTTCTTTTTTAATAAATGATGGTAATTAATTAACAAGTTGCTTCACATATGTGGTATAAGAATATATATAAGGCTGAAACAACCCCGGGGTTGGGGAAGACATATAAATCCGATCATGAGAGGAGGACAAAAACAATCGAATAGCACCGCCCTCGTCTTAATTTTGATTAAACTCTAAAATAAGTCTCATATATATATATATTCACCACTTTCCTTTTAAGTCATTTAGTATTTCTTTTATTATATATATTATATTAAAATTTTATGATTAGTATAATACTTTTTTTTATTTATAAATTTTTAAATTTACTAATTAATTAATTAATTAAATTGACTTTGGATAATGATAACATGAATATTATGATCGGACGAAGGGAGCAACAAATAGTCTGACTGACAAAACCCATGAGTTCAAGGGAAACAAGATTTCTAGCATCAAATCAAGTGAATGAGGTTGATAGTTGATACTACTACTTCATCCATTTTAATTCAATGCGATATTGTTTGATAGGATATACATTTTTTTAATGATTCTTTTAATAAATTGTAAATTATTTTTTTATTGATGGCGGTGAGTGGTGGGTGTGGATGACTATCATATGTATAATTTCATTTTGTAAATTAAATTAGATATTATTTATAAGACAAAAATAAAATTGCAAGTGATGAACATATGTGTCTAACACAAACAAAAATATAAAAGTCAGCGAGCTCCGGGAATTGATTCGTCTGCCGAGTAGTGCCAACCTTTGTATATACTCCACAGTTTTTGGTCAAGGATATCCTTAAACTATACCACAAATTTAAATTACATTCTTAGCAAAAAATACCCTTCAAATATTTAAAAGTGAACAATTTTCATCGTTCTCTTAGATATCGTCAAAATACTAAGAATAGTATAATTACAAAGCAACTTGTCGAAGTTGTAAGTAGCTTTCTCAAGTAACTTACGAGTAGCTTCTACAACACTTTATAATTAAGTAACTTTGCAAATAGTTTCATCAAAATTGCTTATAGTAGACAACTTCTTGCTAGTAGCTTTTTGAAGTAATTAACTTATAATTAAATACGCCTTATACATAACTTTGCAAATACTAACTTTCTCTAAAACTATACTACAGTTTTTAGAGAGCGGCTTTTGAAAATATAGCTTACAAAGCAGTTTCTCGAAGTAACTAAAATGATTATACGAGGTATTTAAGGGTGTTTCGTATGAAAAAAATATTTACTTTCAATCTTCTTATATTTGTCTAGTAAAAATTTTAAGTATTTTATTCAGAATAATACACTTAAATAATTTATAAAAGTAAAAAAAAAAAAAAAAAGTTTAAAAAAAAAAAAAAAGTTTAAAAAAAAAAAAAAAAACAAGTTTCACAATAATATACCACCCACGCACCCTTTTAACTTTAGTACGTGGTTCCTGCCATTTCATGCAGTAAAATCCAGCACATCACGTGATTTGAAATGCATTTACGTTTGTTTGTTTGTCTATTATCTCTTCAATTTACTAAACTTAGATATAATTTTGCCCTTCGCTTCTTTCGGTCTCAATTTCAATCTTTTGGCTCAATAAGGAATATATATGATTATTTCTAATGCCTCAAATTTAATCAAATTCGTATCAACTTTATCTATGACGTGTTGCTTATTTATTGATTATCTTATTATTAATATAAACTGTTTAAATTTGCGTCATTATCAAATTCGCTTTTGATCCACCCATAAAATATCTTTTCCATTTAACCCAAACTAGTATACATACTCGCGTGTTGCACGGATATGTAACAAAAGTGCATGTATATATAATATTAGGATATAGTTTTTCAAATTTTAAATTAATTTTATATAAATAATTAATATATTTTTTATAATATTAATTAGAAAAAGTTTATATATTATAAACGCCACCAACATGCTATTATGAATATAACGCGAAAACATACATGGTAATTCATTTCAAATCAATTTTAATTTGAAATTTGAAAGCAAAGATAGCTTTAAATTGAAATACATGTGGAGAGATTTTATATGATAGAACGAAACTTTTGAAATGATAAAATAAAGTTGATCAAAATGAAAATCTAAAAATAACACTTTACAAGTTATCATTCATTATATTGAAATCTTCTGAGCATATTAAATTGCTAAAGAAATAAGAATTACAACACAAATTAAGCTTGACTATATAAGTTCTCACTAATTAAAATCCTAACTTTTATCAACGTGAATCTCATCCATTTTATTCCACTTTCAAATGTAATTTCTAGTATAGTAAGATAGACATATATTTATAAAGGGAAAATACATAAAAACACCCCTGAACTTGACAGCAAAATTTACTTTAACACTTTAACTTTACGGATAATTATTTACCCCCCTAATCTTATTATTACAAGTGAATTTTAATATCACCTGAATTGCTGACGTGGCAAATTTCAAAAATATCAGCGCGTAAATAAAAAAAATAAATTAAATGGGGCCCTTTTTTTCCCTTTCCTTCCGGCCAATACAATTTTTTCCCATTTTTTCTTCTTCTTCTTCTTCCTTGCACCCATCACCCCAAACCCAACTCATTTCTTTTCTTTTTAATTATTTCTTCTTCCTCACAGCCTGCACATCCTCTCCTCTCGTTCCTCTATGCATCCTTTATCTCTGATTTTCTCCTTCTTCTAAGTAGTTTATATTTATAATAAAAGACAAAATTTCAAATCAAAATAGCAAATCTTTAAAAAAATTCAATTATGATTTGATTAATAAAGAATTAACAAAGTGCCAAAACCTTAAAAAATAATTAATCATCTAACTTTAAACATTACTTATTCTATACCTGGATATGTATTAGGAAGTTAAACAAGAAAATTAACAATAAATCTAAAAAGTTAAGCACACTGATTTTGCACAAATCTGAAGGCACCATTGTTGATGTAAGTTGAAGCTTCACTTAACTGAAAAAAGAGATTGATGGAAGTAATAATAAATCATTACAAAGTAATGAAAATAGAATGAATTGATCAGAATTTTAGAAGTTAATAAATTGACCCAAATGAAATAATGAAGAGGATGGGTGAATAGTGAAAATAAATTTTTTAAAAAATGTAGGGAAATAAAAATAAAGAAAAAGTAATTTTTTTCAATTATCCGACGTGTCATCGATGTGGCATAGGTGGCGCTTAAGTGGCGCGCGTGCATTTCACCCATAAGTATGAAACTGGTATTGTATGTGTAAGGTGCTATTAAATTCACTTGAAATAAGTTTAGGGGTAAATAATTACCCGTAAAGTTAAGGTGCTAAAGTAAGTTTTGCTGCCAAGTTAAAGGTTTTTTTTTATGTATTTTCCCATTTATAAAATTGTCCATATGTCTTTTATTTTGTATGTACAATTCAACGTTGGCTTTAATTATTAATTTTTATTTATAAAGGAAAAAAAGCTATCATAATTTTACATTATGACAATTTTGTTTACACGATTATTAAAAGATATAATAGGGAATACTTCTTATTCTAAGTTAGCCTATATATTAAAAGTTAAAAAATATAATCGGGAATGTTTCTTATCCTAAAGTTTGCAGTTAAATTGAATTAAAAAATATAATATGAGATGCTTCTTATCCTAAATTTGCATATATGGAGTATAATTTTTGGAATACTCTGGATGGATAAGATAATTTTTGGAATACTCATAAAGAGTGGTTTGAATTTATTCTTTTTTTTTTAAATGATAACTCGAATACATTTGATGGCATCTTTAAAAATAAAATATAGATTTGAAATATTTAAATTTATAATTCAAATTTTGTTTTTTGTAAATAATGTTAAACGTGGTACTTTTGTTTTCCTATTACTTACATAGGTAAAAGAGTAAATTGAGTTTTGAGATATTAGAGTAGTTAGGTAAGTGGATAAGGGATTTTAGGTTTAGTTTCATTTTCTTATTTTTATCTTCTTCTTTTTTAAAAAAAAATTGCCAACGTATATTTAACTATCCTTATTAATTGTGAAAACTGATTTTAAATCATTTTAAATTTTAAAAAATAAAAGAGTAATTTATTAGTTTTTAAAGATGTATTATTAAAATTAATAAAATAATACTAATAATTTATTATTAAAATAAATTATTATTTTAAAATCATTTAATTTATTATTTTGGCTAAAGAGGAATTATTATTTTTTAAATTTAATTTATTATTATAATTTATAATAAATAATAAATTTGAGTTATTAAATTTTAAAAAAAGAAGAAGAAATTTTTTGTAACATGCTATGCAACCCTTCAATCCTCAGGATGCTATGCAATCCTTCAATCTGGAAAAAAAAATCACATTATTTAAAGTCATTTCGTCATAGTGCATAATAAATATAATCATTAATAAATATGACATAAATTAAGAAATAGAACATACTGAACATTTTCGACAAAATTATGTGAATCATCTTCTTCACTTATCAAATCCCAGATGATTGCATATATGTTAGCACATACTATGTCTTCATTGCAATATTTTTTAATAGTTCGTCAATTATTTTTATATCCAACATATATTTTTCCAAATAATAGCATAAAACATCATTCTCTATAATGCAAATAACATCTCCAAACTAAAATGTAAAAGATAAGGCAAAAACAAATAGAAAAAGATAGAAAATTAGGAAAACAAAATAAGTTTCCTACATGAAAAATACGATAGCACAATCTCTTAAAATGTAAATTTGCAAGTAATATGAAGTGAACATCAGATCTGCCTACTCTTAGCAAGAATGTTAATGACTTCTTCTTTCAGTTTTACCATTGCAAATACAACACATTGTACCTCGTGGCAATTTTATTAATATATTTACATTAATATTTTAAATGGTAATATGTTGCTTAAAATTGTTTTGATTCTTTTTAATTTATTTTATGTACCGTGAATTCAATTGCACAATCTTATCATCATTAGAATGACTTTTTCCCCATAAATTGTAAAACTTTTTCTTCTTTAATTAAAATAAATCT